TATTTTACCCACTAGAGGGCCTACCACCTTCCCCCTCTCACAACATCTAACATCTACCATAGTCACTACACAGTGCTAGTGGACGTCTACTCTGACTACCATACAGAACGGTATTCAGAATAGTCGACCACCCACTAGCGTCCCCCGAGGGCTATTAGGTGACCACCCACTAGCACACGGGGACTAGTGGGTGGCCACCCTCCCTCCACCATCAAACACCATCATCAAATCGTCAAAACAAATGGTTTTGGATCCCCCAGATTGGACATGAATGGGGCGTGCCTTGGCCATGCTAAATGGAGCGCGTTTTTTAAACCATCCATATTGTTGAGACCAGCGGCTGAAAGCAAAATTTTTATCCGTATGCGTTTGTCTCTTTCCAGTAGGTATTGCTTATTTTGTTGTTCAGTATATGTTAATGCAAAGGCAAAAATTCACGAATAAAAATGCAAAGGTCTTTTTGACATACCCGGTGCTATTTGTACCTGCAGGATCGAGCTCTTGGACCCCGCCTTTCTAACTAATTCATTTTTCCCTCTATTATGTTTACTACATATATTTCTCTCTCTAACTCACGCACACACACACACATACACACCCAATAAGCAGTCCATAGCAGCTGTCTAACTCCCAGGTACCTATTTTCTGCTAGGTAAAGAAGAGCATCAGAGTGAAAGAAACTCTGCCCACTTATTTCCGCCTCGGCCGGTAATCGTACCCAGGCACGTAGGAGTATGACTCCCGTGTGTTTACTAGTTGTGTTTACTAGTTGTGTTTTTTGCGGGGGTTGAGCTTTGCTCTTTCGGCCCGCCTCTCAACTGTCAATCAACTGTTTTACTAACTTTTTTTATTTCCCCACACCACACACACACACACCCCCCAGGAAGCAGCCCGTGACAGCTGACTAACTCCCAGGTACCTATTTACTGCTAGGTAACAGGGGCACTTAGGGTGAAAGAAACTTTGCCCATTTGTTTCTGCCTCGTGCGGGAATCGAACCCGCGCCACAGAATTACGAGTCCTGCGCGCTATCCACCAGGCTACGAGCCCCCCTGTGTACGAGGTCCCGTGTGTATGTGGCTATGTTGACTTGTCAGTGGTTATTTGGACCTTTATTGCGGCTACGTTGTCTTTTATCTATCATAAAATGGCTTATCTCTAATGGAATTTTGTTGTAGTCATGTTTATGTTTTTTCAGTTCTGTTAATTTTAAGTCTGAGGTCTCAAACACGCTCTTATCTCTTGGGAACTATAAAATAGGTTTATATCCATGACAATAGTTAAGCTACAATGTGTTATAACAGCTGTCACTTGTGACTGTGTTGATGTCAGTATGTGACGTTATTGACGTCACTGTGAGGTCATATGCTGCCGTCAGTATGAAGTCAAGGTGTCATTCACGATTAAATTCTCGGAGTGTTATCTGGCGGTGAAGGTTTATTTGGTCCTGTCAAGTGCAACCGGAGCGGCCATATTGAACTTCCTTAGTCGCCAGAATTGAAGTCATCTCAATCTTTGTTTCCCTCTATCACCATCTTCGTCTCCTCTTCATCCTTCTCCTCCTTCTTTTTCTTCGGTAGACAGTGGACAGGAGTGCCAGATAAGAAGTGAGTACTGCATAATAGATCTATATTTGTGAATAGTTTATACAAATACACTGCATCATCGAACTGTGATGTCTGGCCCTCTGCACACACTCTGTTATTGTGAGTTTTATTAAGGGGGGTTACATATTAGTTTTTATTTATTTTAATTTATTTCTTATATTTATTTTTTTATTTTCAATAATTATTGTTGCTATTATTATTATTTTGTTTATTATCTTTATTAGTATACATTATTTTTAATTACTGTATATTATTATATATTATTATTTGTAATAATTAAATTTTCATTAATTATTCGTACTAATTAAGTAAATTCAATGCGCAAATATAAGTAATTATTTAATTATATTTGCGTATTGAATAATTATTTTTTTTCATTCTTACTGCTGTAATTAATTACATTATCACTTTAATTTTCTCTAATGTGGAGGTCTACATATCAGTTTACCTTTTATTAACATAAGTACACAGCAAGTTATACAGCTGAACTAGACAATATGAGAAAGACTTCATACCTTGTGTCTGGCACGTGATGGCACTCACTGGCAAGCTTTGGGTGCAATACGAGGATATCGTCAAGGACACAGGAGTGTTGATAAAGTGGTTGCAAGGTTCCAGGTACCTGATACCAGCAGGTTGGACGAGTCTAATAACTGGACATTCAACGATGTAGTGTGTCAGATTACGACTCTCTCTTCACGGAGTTTACACGTGGAATGCTCAGGATTGGAGATTTGTCACCTGTAACCACACACACACACACACACACACACACACACACACACACACACACACATTTCTTCATTCAGAAACCTAAATGAGGAAGCTTTTAGGGCGCTTTACACTGCCTACGTGAGACCCGTCTTAGAGTATGCCGCGCCATCATGGAGCCC